AGATGAAAGAAGGGGGGGTCGAAGGAGGGCGGGAAGGCGGGAGGGAGGGAGGGGAGGAGGACAGTACCGCAAGACACGCACGCCCGGCAAATGCTCCGCTACCGTCTTCATCCGAGCGTCTCCCTCAGCCCAACAATGATATAGAGGAAGGAGGGAAGTCTATCGCCCAAAATTGCCACGGAAAAATGGTGGAAAAGGGAGGAAACGAGGCAGGAAGCAGGGAGGAGGGGCGGGAAAGGATGAGACTCGGGGGTCAAATGGGCAGCCCTGCAGGGAGCTGAGGGGTCGAAGAGGGAAGGTGGGAAGGAAAGCAGAGGGAAGAGAAAGGAGTGGCGGGCGCATGGAAGGGGTGGGTGACCGAGTGAAAGAAAGGGGAGGAGAGGGAGGCTTATCCCAAGGCATTTTAAACCTCACCCTCAACCTCACCCTAATCCTAACCCTAATCCTAACCCTAACCCTAACCCTAACCCTAACCCTAACCCTAACCTAACCCGACCGAAGGAGCGAGCTGAACCCCCACTGTTGTTCTCCCGCTCTGCGGCTTTTCTATTCTCTCCCCCCCTTGCGTGCCTCTGGTCCACTCACATTCACTTGGAAATAATCCTGCAAACGCGCCATGAGAACCTTGTCCTCCACCTCGCCCTCCCTCCCGCCTTCCACCCTACCCCCGTCCACGCTGGCGCCTACACGTCGCACCAGCGTGGTTGTGGGAGTCTGTCGTATTTCCAGAACGTGACGGTCCAAGACTCCGATCCACACTTTGTCGCAGCCCCCTCCCTCCTCTTTCTTGTCCCCCTCTTCTTCCCGCCCTCCTTCCTCCCCTTCCCCCACGGCCACCTTGGCCTGCGTTTCCAACCCTGAACGTGAGGTTGGATCGTGAACAGATCGTGACCGCAGGAAGGACTTCAATAGATGCACACGTACACAAGGACATGGTGCGCACATGGCTAACGGCCCGCTCGTATATACTGGCTCGTGCATTTTCTTCAGACCTTCCCCCCACCTCCCACATACCTTGACGGCGCCAATTGAAACACTGACCCATCGTCAGGGAGAATTCTGGGCGCAGCTCGTGCGGAGGGACGTCCAGGTCCATCCATCCCTTTGCGCTGTATTCTCTTTCTTCCAAGTTCAATCGTGTTGAGGCCAATTTGCGTTTGGGTGCCATGGACACGGCGCCGAGGGACGCGGCGGGGATAGGACAAGACGAGGGGGAAAAGTGCACAGCAGAGATCGATCGAAAGGGCGCAGCGATGATGCCACCTGTTGGTGTTACGACCTGAATTTTATTTTTATATCGCAACGGCGTGTTGGGGGCAGGTTGATGGCGAGAGAGGCACAGACGACGGTGTTGGGCGAAGGAAGGGTAGTAGGTCGAAGCGCTGGCTGCAGTGCACGCAACTCGAGGAAAATCGGAGGAGAAGGAGCGACGAAATGTCAAATGCAAAACGGCCACTGCTATGATTGCTACTGCTAGTGCAGGTGCTCGATGTAAGGTTCTTGCACCTCTTTCAAGCCTTTGGTCCCCTCCTCGGCAGCCTTCAGGCCTGAAAAAAATTTCCTTGTACAGTTCCCCACAGCGCATTCAAGGGGCTCTGTTGTCTTACTTCCACCGTACACGCACTATCTGTGTGAAACGGTTGGAGGACATGAATACACGCCGTGGCTATTGTAAATTGGAGAACGAAGGGTGCATGTGTGGGGAGGCTAGCGGTCAAATTCGCGGTCCGAATGAAAGCATCTTTGAAAGCTAACTTTGTTCTAATGAGCATAGTTTTGCCCTGCATCAGAAGATATTGTGTCGTATTACTTCAAAGGAGAAGTAGCTTGCACATTATACTTCACAGTTTCTCTGTTTTGGTTGAGCAATGTCAGGGAGCCTTGTCACGTCGGCCACGCTTGTCCTGCTCGGAAATCCGAAGCAACGGTTTTTTTCCTTTTTCATCCTCTTTTTCACGTGACTGCTATTACGTTTTTATCAGACACGCCGGAGTAATGCTATAGTGTGGCAGAGTTGAGTTATAAACAGCTATGTGTGACCGTAACGGGGACTACCAGGGCACCCACATTGCGAAACATTTATTCGTTCTCGTAACGCAACCTCCTACCTGAGCTAGTATCTGAAAGGCTGAAGCTGAGCGCATTGCTACGAGCGCAGTGATTACTTTAGTCATATGACATAACGTTTTGGCGTCTATGTGAGATGTAAAGTATGTAAATCGATATCATGGAACGCTTACTTTGATGCGTCCGAAATCAGCATTTAGCATTATATTTTCTTTCGAGCATGTCTTTACAATCCTCTTTCGCAGCCAGATACGTCATTTAACCCTTTCGTGGCGTATGATAAAATGCTATTGCTTATTATGAATCGGAGGCGTATCACATACCTTAGGTCATGTAGATCAAGTTTGCAACAGTTTGCACCTATCGACCTCACCAAATTCATCATTTTCAGCACTTACATTCCCCTTTTCCATCCTCTTTCCTTCAACTACAAACCTATTTCTCCTTCTCTTTTCACCTGACTCAATTGCAATTTTCCTCCTCCTCCATCCTTGGAGCACTTCCTATTCATCACTTTTGATAATCACTCGTCTACTGCTGAATCAACACCAATGCGCCAGGCGTCACCTGTGCAGTGGGAGCCTCCGTCACCGTG